AGGGCGCTGAGCGACCCGCACCGCGGGAGCTTCGGAGCCCGCCGCAGCCCTTGAACGGGCTCGGCCTAACGTGTCCGGTACCCGCAGCGGTTCCTAACGGGAGCTCCCACCGCCGGGCAGGGAGCGCCCGGTGCTGCGGGGCCGGGCAGCCGAGTGCCGTGTGTGGGGATCAGAGATGAGGGAGGAACGGGACGCTTCTGGTTATGGGAGCTTTACAGGCAGAACGCAAACGCTTTTCTCGCGTCTCTCTCTTTTCTTCTCTCTAACCCGATTCCATGTTATCAGTCCAGCTGAACCGAGGGGCGAAGGAGATGGAGAACAAATCCGCAGAGCTGAGGTCTAATTCTGGGTCAAACCAGATCGAATTAATTCATTTTTGATGCAATGTCAGTATTTGAAAGCAAGTAATAAAAATAAAACCTGTTTTTTCTCCCTCTTTGGTCATGTTGACGGGCTGGTTCAGGCTCAGTGGAGGCCAGGCAGCTGCCCGCGCCTGCCCCCTCCGCACCATGAGGGCTTTTCTTCTAGGGATTCAACTCCTTAAATACAATGATTTTTATTTAAGGAACTGGTGTTACTTCATTAGGGTTCTGACGTTTTTGTAACCACAGAACAGTTATGTAGTGTTGAGACTATACACTAGTCTGCAATACGAAAAAATATAAATAATGGAAAAAGTATTAGGCACTTCAATTCCATTAGATGGACTGAAAATGAAGAGTTTATTTACAAATATGAATTTAGAAGTTTGCCTTGTTATAACACTTCAAAGTTACCTGAATAGCATCGTTGCAGGTGGTAACTATGACCAGCACTGGGTTTGCACACTTCGGGGCTGATAACAGTAGGTGACGGCTTCATGGCTTGATACAGTAAATTGCAGCATCTTGGACTGGTAACAGCTGGATTTCCTCCATCCATTCACCCCCTATTCTCTCCAGCTGCCAAGCCCTGTCTTTACTAAAATTACTGAAATCCTTAAAAACAGCATAACCTTTTTTGCACGTTTGTTAAATTCTCTGCCAAATGTCCGACTCTGCCAGTTGAGACTTCCGCCTTGTCTTCGCTCGAGTGATGTGAACTTGTGCGATCTTTATCTTTCCAAGATGAAAGCAGAATTGTAACTAAAAAATCCAAAGAATGTGTCAATTCTTTAGATCTAAAATTGGGCAAAAGTACCAAGGAGCCTGGCTGGTTCTTTTCACGTACTTAAAGCCTTTTGGTAGCTAATGGCTGTTGACCTCCTGATTTACAATGACAAGGTGGAATTCCCTGTGTCTTCTAACAAATCCAATTTCTATTTGTTGAATGTTGCCGTTTGGGAGCGATTCCTCCTTGTGTTCGTCTTGGCTTTGTGTAAACTTGTTCAGAATGAAGTGCAATCAGTGTTGTCACTTAACTCTGATGTTGTCTCTTTTCCCTTCCTTTCTGCCTGCCTGCTGCTTTCATTCTGTAGTATTGGTATTTGCCATTCATTTCACCTTCTGCATCTATGCATCTCATGGTAGGTGATAGGCTTTTAATCTGAGATTAGACTCTCTAATGTTTCTGAATGCTAAAACTGAAAGCAGAAATAAATTATGGTGGTTTATTTGTTCCTGAAAACATTTTCTTCAGGTTCTGTGGAAAGCTAAAGCCTACTGTAGCTTTTTCTTTTTGCAGCCTTTAATGACCATGTAATCACTGGTCTGGCTTAATGGCTCCCAAGAAAATGCACTTCGATATAGTTGCTTCTGGTTGAGGATCGGTGACGGTGGTGGCTGGGAGAGGAGACCTCCTCCCTTGGTGTTTTCTGCAAATCTGGCAACTGTGCAAAGAAAGCCCAAGTAACTTTGATCCTAGCTGGGCACAGAAAGCGGATGTGCACAACACAGATCTGCTGAGCTGACCTGAAATTGTCCTTGCTGTTCCTCTTCTGGGTCTGAGGAGTTGATTTTAATGTATGAAACAAATTGTGCGCCTAGATAAATTTCTAGGGATCAGATGAGTATTTTTTTTCTTGGTAGCAGAATGTAATAAATCTGTGAATGAATGAGCATTTTTTGTCCTGTTGAAAGGACCAGAAATGGAGCCTAACAAGTGTTGCCCGTTCATGAAACACAGATAACAAACGGCAGTTTGAGCCAGTTTTCACCTCTGGGTCAGTGGTTGAAATAAATTCAGGTCCTTGGCAACTGCACGTTTAGCCATCCAGGAGGTGGCCAGTAGCACATGAAATGACCTGGAGGTGTCATTCCAGTTATCTGGGGAGGCGCTCGTTAAAGCAGAGGGAGATGCTAATTGGCAGCTGACGAGAGTTGCTAAGAATGGCTACAGAGAGTGCGAGCAGCCTCCTGGCTTGCCTCTTCAGGTCAGATTCGGGACACGTTAGTGGGAAGTGCTGTGTGTGTGGAGAAAGAGAAAGAAAGTGCTCACTCATTCCTAGTCAAAGAGGATTTCTCTTTCCAAGGAGACTGAAGTTGCCTTGCCAAAATATGAACTGGGATCTCTCCTTATTAAGCAGCAAATTCCTTTGAGACAGCAGGTTTCTGTTCCCCCTTTCCGGGCCAATGGAAGCAGCGTGGGACACAGATGCAGCAGCGCTCAGTCGGTTTTCTCTTTGGCTTGTGCTAAATCCCTTTTGCCTCTGTCTAGAACTCAGAGCTCTTCACGCTGACGTATGGTGCTCTGGTCACCCAGCTGTGCAAGGACTACGAGAATGACGAGGACGTCAACAAGCAGCTTGACAAAATGTAAGTGGATCTGCTGAAGTGGAGCCTTGTAGGAGCTCGGGTTCACAGTATGGCACGTCTCTGTGCTGCACTAAGAATAAAAGCCTGGCAGACTGAGTTTTGTTTAATACTGATATTTCTCAGTTTTAAAATTTTTTCCTCCACTATCTTTTATAAACGTCGGCTGTCTTTCTATTCCCACTCTGTAGCTGTTGCTCTTTGGTACATTCACAGGGGTTACAACATAGGTGTTCGGCTAATAGAAGACTTTCTGGCCCGGTCCAATGTCGGAAGATGCCATGATTTCCGTGAAACTGCAGATGTTATTGCAAAGGTAATTGTCAAAGCACAGCTTTGTCAGGTTTTGCATGTGAGGATAGAGTATTTGCTACTCACAGGACTGTTCTGAGAGTTTGACTGAGATTTTGGGGAGGAAGAAGAGAGAATTAGATCCCTGACTACCGCTGACTGGTGGGAATTGGGAGAAAGGCGCGGTGTTTTCAAAACCCTCTAGTAATTTGGCAGAGATCAAAGCTGTGCTGTTGCTTCATGGGACGTTTCTTCTTCATACTCCGACATAACAGATAGCATTTAAAATGTACCTGGGCATCACTCCGAGCATCACCAACTGGAGTCCTGGAGGTGATGAGTTCTCCCTGATCTTGGAAAATAATCCTTTGGTGGACTTTGTTGAGCTCCCTGACAACCACTCATCTCTCATCTATTCCAACCTGCTGTGTGGAGTGCTGCGAGGTGCCCTGGAAATGGTGAGCCAACGTCTCTCTTCCAGTGAGATAGGTATATGAACAACGAAGGTATCAACAGATACTTTAGTGTCTAGTCTGTGTTTGTGACTTCTGTGTTTGCTTTGGACTTGAAATTCATTCCCAGGAGAAGAGCAGAGCTACATTGTGTATGGCAGCTGTGAGCCCCAGAGGTACTGACCAAGTCCCTTCATCTTATGACCCAAGTACAAGAGCTAGTATCTCCTTGAATTTTTATGAAGCTTCAAAATCCTCACTTTGTAACTGCTGTGAGCCCTACTAGAGAATTGGCTGGAACAAGAGAACAGCTGTGTCTCAAATTTAGGAGTCTGTATTTAGGCTTTATTATCTTGCTTAGCTGAAATTTTTGAGGAACGTACATGGAGCAGCAGGACGTGTAGCCTTGAGTGATAGGGTTAATTGGGCTCTGATCTGTGCAGGGAGTCCCGGTTACGCTGTAGGGGGTACGTTTGCCGAGGTAAGGTGCCTGCTGTCCACCACGTAGGCCACAATGTGCAAGGAGGATGTGATCTTGAAAAATAACGAGTGCTTCCCTAGAGCTCGGCATTGCATGTCGCACCCTCAGAGTCCTTAAGCTGGTGCTTCATGATCAGACAGTTCCTAGAGAAGCTGCTATTTTAGGGGAGATAACAGCTCTTCTTTTTCCTCTTCCATCACCTAGGTTCAGATGGCTGTAGATGTAAAATTTGTCCAGGACACACTGAAGGGTGACAGCGTCACAGAAATAAGAATGAAGTTCATCAGGCGGATTGAAGACAATCTTCCAGCTGGTGAAGAGTGAATCGCAAGCCAGTCTCCCTTAGGGACTGGAGGGGACCAGCTGGTTTTGGCCATTAGCTTTCGTCACAGATCTGTAGGGATCTAGTGCCCCTGTACATTCAGACTGACTCACTGACTATTTAAGATGTTATTATATTCTTCTACTGTTACTTCCATCTTCTGTAGAAGACGATTGTCTGGTTGCTGTTTATCTCACAGGTTCATTCTGAAGATTTTTCATAAAGTGATGTCTTTTTCATATTCCCGTAGGGACTCTTTCTACGCTCAGTTTCTAATTGTGACATTTGGTTGTGCGATAACTACTGCTCAAACTCTAGAAGAGCTCCAGTCTGTGAAATCTGAATCTGTGCTTTATTACCAGAATTGGAGACCAAGCTATGAGAGCCCACTGATTTACTGTTAAATGCTGTCCTTAAAAAGAGGTGTTTAAAATTCATTCAGATATAAGTGCATAGTATTTCTGTAGACCAAACTGGCTTCCGGCATTTGATTCTGAAGTTACTAGTAAAATGCAAGCTTGATAGAAAGGAGGGATTTGGAAGAGCCGTTTGAGTGCTGGCACCCGGTCGGGGAGGCTCCTTTTGTCAGAGAGCAGTGGCATCACGCAGCACCAGCAGATGCGGGAGGTCCGTGTGGCCTGGGCCTTTCTGTGGTTTCTCTTCCTCAGCAGTCTCATGACTCCCCTCTTGGAAGGGGAGGACCATTAAATTGCAATGGAGCAGCAGTGAATATTTTAAGTGGAGAAAAGGGGAGAGTGGCTAAAATGCCATCAGTGTTCTACAGTGTGTACAGCCCAGGGGCCACATGGCAAGTCCACGGGATGAAAAACAAAACTCAGACTAACGACTGGGAGGTGTTCAATGCATTTCAGCAAGTAGAGCCTGTTCTCCTGTTACAGTGTATAAACACTGCGCAGTGTGGAGGTGGTGCTGGGTATATTCTCACAGATGTTTAGGCTACAACAGAATTTCCCCTGTTACTTAAATTGGCAAGCTTCGGCAGTCTGTAGCACCTGCTGTTCTGTAAAATAAATACACAAAGTAGTGTTATATCTCAAAAAGCAAGATAATGGAAAATCAACTTCCTCTGCCATCCTGTTCAGCCAGAAAATGCAGTCAGACGTTCAGTTCTCAAATCACTTTACATAGCATGAAGGCACGGATCCACAGAGATAATTAGGAGCTTAAAGTCGTAGCTCTTACTCATTTCCAGAGGAGCTGGCAGCTCAAATACCTTTGTAGGTTTATGCCGGAGTGTAAGGTGAGAGAGAAAGCTGCCGCTTGTGCTGCCGTTCGTTTAGGTTCTCTGGTTGAATGTTGGGACATCTGGACAGCTCTCCCTTTCCCTTTTTTTGTCCGAATGAGTCCCTTTGGTGGGAGGGTTTGGATGCCCCGTGTGATGTGTGTCCTGCGAAGGGGCAGTGAGTCGCTGTAAAAGCAGCCGGAGAATGACACTGAGGCACAGCAGCGGCTGGTGGGTTTTGGAGGCAGAGGTGCTGCCCGGTCATGTTGCAGAGATGAAAGAGATCTGTCGCTTCTCATTGTTGACCATTATAAGTAATTTTAAGGCTTCATTTTAAAAGCAATTGCATTAAAAGAATCCCAGTGTCAACTCTTTGGTTTCCTCTTGCTTTTTTTTTTTTTTTGGATGCAGCGGGTGCTGGTGTGGAGCAGCGGCTGAGCAGGGCTGGCAGGGTGACGGCAGCGCCGCACCAAGAATGTCTGTCTGCTGGCGCATGTGAAGGCTGCTGCCTGAAGGAAACCTGCCCAATATTCAGCGCACGGAGGGATTGTGGCTGGGGGTGGGACTCGGGGGCTGAAGGGCAGCGCTGGGAAACCAGACAGTGTTTGCTTGTTCGAGGACTGGCCTTTTTCTGCCCCTGAATACTCGTGCGTGTACATTAGCAGGGACTCTACCGCCAGCCCAAGGCAGTCTGCTGCAGAGAGAGCTAAAACACGCTATTTGGGGTCATTCATAGTGGCAAAAAATCACCTCGGGAGGCATCTGTGCCCCCCGTGCCAGCTCGGCGC